TAGTCAGGGTTGCCATCAACCCATGCGTTCAACACAGTTGCCACAATGTGTTTTCACGTTACGAATAATACGATATCGTATGTGCGGATTCGAGCCCTGGATATTGTAGCATATTAAGCCGTTGAGTCAAATTCCAATAAAATACCCCCACGACACTAGCGACCTCTTAACATGCTCACAAACATCACTCCCTTGTGGCCCAAACCCGGCGAATCTGGCCTTTTCCCCGAGTGTGCCGTCAGATGAGAATGAAAACAACATAGTCCGCTTCACGAATTAAAGCAGTGCTGCTAAACAAAAACAACATTGAAAGATTTTGTTCGGGTTTCCTTTTATTTTTTAAACGATCTTCTGCTATAGAAAATATTCAGATATAAAACTAATAAAAACTAGTTCAATTTTCAATAAAATAAATATTTATGGCCTTATTCATACAAAATAAAGTAGCTTTAAAAAAGGTTTATAAACTGAAAAATGTATGAAAACGTCAATTTATAGAGCTCTTTAAACCTACTTTATTTTTTATGAATAAGGCCATTAGACTATGTAGATTCTTGTGTATAAATAAACTAGGTGAAACCTCGATTTATTCTATTGTAAAAATTCGGTTTACCCGGTATTTGAAAAATCAAGATTTCAAAACCCATCTAAAAATATTAAAAAAACCGGTTTGGAAAAGCCTACCCAATCATACTAGCTCCAGCCCTGAAAGTCAACTCGAAACCCGCTGGTGGTAACAGAAGAGGAAGCCCTCTTGGCATTTTCAATTGCCGTAAGTTGGCACAGAAGAGAAACGACCTGCGTACTTTTTGGACTCGGCCGAAATCGCCGAGGCGCTTACAGCGCCAAGCAAGAAGAAGAAGAACGATCATTAGTTAAGTGCACGTTTGAACTAATTTAATGAATGTTTCTCAGTGCGGCTGTTTAGTGGTTATTTGTAGTCAACATAAAAACCTAATTCAACCTTAAATTGTCTGAAAATAATGCCTTTTTCTTCATTACAAGCTTTTTTTAGTTTCAATTAATTAAAAACCTAGCCAATCACACTAGCTTCAGCCCTGAAAGTCAACTCGAAACCCGCTGGTGGTAACAGAAGAGGAAGCCCTCCTGGCATTTTCAATTGCCGTAAGTTGGCACAGAAGAGAAACGACTTGCGTACTTTTTGGACTCGGCCGAATTCGCCGAGGCGCTTACAGCGCCAAGCAAGAAGAAGAAGAACGATCATTAGTTAAGTGCACGTTTGAACTAATTTAATGAATGTTTCTCAGTGCGGCTGTTTAGTGGTGATTTGTAGACAACATAAAAACCTAATTCAACCTTAAATTATCTGAAAATAATGCCCTTTTCTTCATTACAAGCTTTTTTTAGTTTCAATTAAGTTCTTCATATTTATTTGTAATATGTATGAATACAATACTGCATCGATGTGATAAAATATAAATATGTATGTAAGCCAAATAGTAAAAAAAGTACAAAAGTGACATTTATAGCCCAATTCGGTGTCGGTGACAAAATTTTTTTCACTGACAAATTTAAATTTTTTCATATATTTTTCCATAAAAAAAAGTTACAAGAAGTTGTCACTGATACAGAATAGAGCCGTTAATCTTAATTTTTTACCCTTACTACTAAATATGTATGGTTTGGACTATGATATCAAATACGCGGTTCAGATATAACAAATATTTTTTAAGGTTGTAATGATACTAAATATGCAAGAAATTATACGTAAAAACATAAAAAAGTACAAATGTAAATGTTGTTTTATAAATATGTGTATAAAATTATCTTTTAAGCTTACAACTCAGTAATTATCTTTTTAAACTTACAACTCATGCTTTTTCTTCTATAATAAATGCTGAATGGGGAGTATGGAGGTCAAACTACATTCGAATTTAGGCTTTTCAATCATCGATGGTATATTCCGGCAGTTTCTCGTATTTTTGTTTTGTCGACTCGTTATCAGTATCCACGAGCAAAACAGTATGAGAGTAGCCCATTGCGACCTGAGGTATTTTTATATTATCCATTTTGGGAACTTCCTTAGGAACAGTGGAAGACTTTTGAAACTCGCCTATACCTAGTTCTCCATAGGTAGGCGAAGCGCCCCAGGCGATTAGAGTATCATCCGCTGATATAATAATAGAAGTATTTCCGCATCCGATATCGGTTATATTCCAACCTTTAAAGAATTTTGTAAAAATAAACATTTAACCACATAAATGCTTCTAAAAATATTACCCGACAAATCCTGCACTGGTTTTGGATACATATTTGCTTCTCCCGTTTTTTTGTTCTGGCCAAATAGGAAAAGAACTCCGAGTTCATTGACAATGAGACTAAAAGTTGCTCCACAATATACGTTTCGTGCACCTCGTCCTTGAGTGTCAAAAAATTTTATTAAACGGGGTACCATTTCATCCTTTGGCTCAGCATGACCTAAACGCCCAAAGCCACCGAATCCCCAACTATACACACGCTTCTTTGAATCAACTGCAACCTGAAAACGGAAAATTTCAAATCATATACATACATATATGTTCATATGCCGCTGCTCTATAAAAATGTTTTCCAAACTTTTTGTATTTAAATTATTTGTAAGGTGAGATCAAAATCGATAGCCGTAGCCGAGTGGTTAAAGATGCATACTTCCACTCGGTGGGAAAAAGATTCCACATTTCGTGCGAGCAACATCTAAGGCCAGAAAAAATCCTACGACAGGCAAACCTCGAGTGTTTTTGCCATAAAAACGTTTCTCATAAAACCATTAGCCGTTCGGAAACGGCGTATAGTTATAACCAGTTGTGTTATAACCAGGGCCGAAAGAATAAGCAAAAAAAACGCGAATTTAAGAGTTTAGTAAGAATGCTAATAAATATGCTCGAAATAAATTTACACCCCGATTGCGATTGTCAACTAATAGTAGATACGGTTATCTCTTATTCGATTATCGCTTTTCCATGGTATTGTTAATGTCGATTTCTCGTTCAATAAGCGACTGCGAATAGTTTTTATGGCTCATTTTTCTACACGTGTTTGTTTGTAGACGGAAGAGCGACTATAAACTATTCACACGTACTTATTGAACGAGAAAACGACTTTGCAAATACGGGCCTATTCGAGGCACGTAATACATGCCGTACTGATGAAAAATGGCAACATTGTTGCAACTGCCCAACTGATAATACATTGCTAGAAATTCACACAGAACGTGATACTTTAATAATTCGCGAAACAGTGATTGCAACTCGAACAAGCCCTACCATCGACAATCGATAATCGACTAACAGTCGATTATCTACTACTAGTCGACACTCGCAATAGGGGTGTTAATTTTTTTCGAGCATATTTGTCGGCCGCTGTGGTGTAGTGGTAAGCAGTGCGCGCTTCCACTCCGCAACGCCTGGGTTCAAACCCTGGTCAAAGCAACATCGCAAAAAATATAGAAAAAAGGTTTTTTCTTAACAGCGGTCGTCCCTCGGCAGGCAATGGCAAACCTCCGAGTGTATTTCTGCCATGAAAAACAGCTTCTCATAAAAATGCAATCGCCGTTCGGAGTCGTTGTAAAACTGTAGGTCCCTCCGCTTTGTGTGACAACATCAAGGCGCACGCCACAAATCGGAGGAGAAGCTCGGCCAAACCCTAACATTTGTGTAAGCGCCAATCTATTATATTATTATTATTATATTTGCTAGCATTTTTACCAGCGTTTTAGTGCTTATCTAAACTCTTAAATTCGCGTGTTTTTTTGCTCAAGGATTGTAAACTTATAATTGACAATCAAGTGTTGCTGGATATTCTCAAATAACAAAGATCTGCACTGGTAATTTAAGTGGTGTGATTAGACGGTATTAAAAATTAGATATCTCAAGTGGTGTATGTTAACTTTTTTTTTAGTATTCAGGGTTATCTAGAAAATCTACGAATTCTGATGCCCGCTATGAATACGCAAAAAATTTGCTATAAGTGGATCCAAGTAAACTCGAAAATATCGTCGACAGCTTCGAATGCTGAACTTGATGATTCGAAATCAGCTAGTGCAAAGGAAACAATAGACATTTACGTATGTCATTTTGCTCACGCTTATCCAGCAGTGGCGACGGCCGAGCGAGCAAAGCACTAGACAGCGGTTTGAGAGATCCGAGTTTAAGTTCGAGTTCTCGAAAAAGAGAATAATACTTTTTTTTATTAATTTTTAAACTATTACTCACAACAATCTCTCGAAAAGAAGTAACATTATGTAATTTTGGAAAATCGACGTGGTAGCGCCCACTTATAACTACATATATGTACTAATTTATCTCATTAAGTCTAACTGAACATTATCGAAGACGTTTGAAATAGGGGTAAAACCCCTACTTACCATGTAACGGTAGTTTTCGGAAAGGCGAAATAACTATATTTAATACGTGCGCCGGGTATTTAATGTTCGGGTTCGCCCCAACTTAAGACTTCTTTACTTGTTTTACTTATGATCTAATAACGCCATACCATTTATCCTTCTGAGTTGTCATTCTTTTGTTTGAGACTAATAACAAATTACCTTTTTTTAAATATTTGAGATTGCCGGTTATTGGATTGTGCTTGTGGATATTTGGCAGCATGTACACACTAGCCCTTTCAAGACCATCTGAAAAGCCCAACGTGCAAAAATATCCTAGGCTTTTCTGTAGAATTTATAGCAATCTTTGATTTGAACTTTGAGTATAGAAAAAATATATTATTTGTTTTTGTTATTTTCGTGGCCTTGTAACAATTATATTCAAAAATTTTTATGAGCTCGAGGCCGTATTAAGTGCAAATTTATTGTGGAAAAGCAACAATAATTTGAAAAAATGGTAGAAGTGATAGCTATTTCGGAAATGTGGTGATTTCCGAACGCACAAAAGGAAAGTTCAGGAATGAAAAAATATGACAATATATTTTTTCCGTATTAAGTGCAAATTTATCACTTCTACCATTTTTTCAAATTATTGTTGCTTTTCCACAATAAATTTGCACTTAATACGGAAAAAATATATTGTCATATTTTTTCATTCCTGAACTTTCCGTTTGTGCGTTCAATACATTCTGCCTAATAAATTTTATCTACATTTATAACAAATACCTAGATCTTTAAAAGGTTATGGGCGACGTGAAAGATAATGGTATTCCGCAGTTCGCAGGCATCGGCTTCGATAATTGGCAGTTCAGAGTGGAAATGCAGTTTGAAGCGCTCAACTTGGCGGAGGTTTTAACGGGCCATCCTCCAAATGATGCAGCAGAGAAGGCAGAGTTTTTGAAAAAGGACAAGAAGGCCAAGGATCGCTTAGTGGGATTTGTACATAACGATTGCCTAGGATATATTCGGGACAATAAAACGGCCAGAGAAATGTGGGAAAATTTGCATATGGTATTTGCGAAGAAATCGATTATAAGCCAACTTTTAGTGCGAAAGCAGCTAGCAACGCTTCGTATTAAAGAAGACGAGTCTGTAGCGACCCATCTTGTTTTATTTGAAAATTTAGTAAGGCAACTGAAGACGGCGGGGGCTTTAGTAAGTGAAGAAGATCTGTTGGCTCAATTTTTCTTGACCTTACCTGAAAAGTTTGATCCACTGGTAACAGCATTACAAAATTTAAGCGAAGAAAAGTTGACTCTCAATTTCGTCAAAGAAAGGCTATTGGCTGAGGAAATTAGAATATCGGATCGTCAAAGAGATGACGGATGAGGGAAGTGTTTTAAATGTGGTAAATTTGGTCATCGAGCTAAAGATTGTAAGCAAGGTGAAGCTCGTAGTGCCGCTAAGAAAACTACAATTGAAAGAGTTTGTTTTGTTGCTGGTGGCGGAAATGATATGCGAGAAAAAGACAGTTTGAAAATGAAATTTAAACTGGATTCAGGTGCGAGTGACCATTTGGCCAAAGAGAAATGGTATTTTCGAGATATTTTTAAAATGCATAATCCAGTTTTCATAAATGTTGCAATAGATAATCAGTGCTTGATCGCTAAGTATTCAGGGAAAATAAGTGGAATAAGTAACAAAGGAGTCCAGCTTGTTATGAATGATGTTTTGTATGTACCAGAATTGCGTGACAACTTGTTATCAGTCCGAAAGCTGACGAATGCTGGTGTTGATGTAATATTCTGCAAAAATAAGACAAATATTATAAAGAATGAAGAATTGCTGGCGTCTGCGTACTTACGAGATGGACTATATGAAATTGAAGTAGGCATCGAACGTATCTCTGCATATACAGTTGTCCACAAAATAATAGGAGTGCGATATTTTGACCAGTTTTGGCTATTTGTCTTTTGTTTATTTAATGTTTATTATTTTTTTATAAAAGCCTAGCTGGCTATACAACAAACACCATATAAATTCAGATTTTAAACTTTGTATAAAAATTATAAAAATTTTGCAATTTTTCACCCAAATTTCAAACTTTTTAATCAGAATCTTTAGAAAAAATTCTGGTATGCAGTTTTGTAGCACATTCAATTCTAGTCTGA